TCGACCCCACCCAGCCCACAGACTGGGCCCCTGGAGGGTAGTAGGGGTCTCCTAGGGCAGCCAAAGCAAAGTGCCACAGACAAGAAGCTGTCCCAACAGAAATTCACTTTCTCCCAGTTCTGGAGACTGGAAGTCCAATATCAAGGTGTTGGCAGGGTCAGCGGCTCCTGAGGCCTCTCCGCGTGTGCAGACGCTGTCTTCTCCTGTTTCTGTGCCTACTCTCCTCTTCTCACAAGGGACACCTCCTACTGACCTCATTTTACCTTAGTTACCTCTAGAAAGACCCCATCAACAAATACGATCCCATTCTGAGGTGCTGGGGGTTAGGCCCCCCGTTGGCCATGCCAAGGAGACCTCTGGCCCCTTTGGCCTCAGGTCAGAGGATGACTCTTGGGCCCACCAGAGGATCCCCAGGAGGGGACACTGGACACACTCCCCATGACACGGGCCCCTCTCTGAAAAGCCACCAGGAGCCCCGCCCGTTTCTTCCTCTAGTCCTTCCTTCACCCCAACAGACATGCCTCACCCAGACCCCAGTTCCTTGTGTGGCCAACTTAGAGCTGCCTACAAGCCTCAGCAGGACCAGGGCCTGGCCTGCACGCCCCACAGTGTTCGCACCCTTGTTCAGCACTTCTGGAGCCCTTGACGCTCCACAGCAGGTGCAGAAGGGGTCCCGAACAGACCCTTTGGCAGGGTCCACCCCCCAGGGGCAGTGAGATCCTGGCTGGGGTGGGGAAAGGCCCATGCATGCTGGGGCCTGCATCCCTGGACAGAAGGCCGGAGGGCTGGGGAAGAGTAAACGGCACGATGGGGGGCTCTCCAGAAACAAGGGCCAAGCGTCCACCTACTGCAGGGCTGATGGAGGGCCACCTCAAAGAGTGGCTCTTCCCAGCCTCCATCTCTGGGCCCCACCGTGGGCTCCCTATGCCACCCTGAGCTGCAGGCCACTCTGGGGGGCTGCTAAAGGGGCTCAAGTGGAAGCAGTGGGCCTGGGGACAGGTCCCCTACAGAGCCCCCCCCAGCAGAGCCAGACTCCCAGGCCACCCCCATCTCATTGGCCGTCCCCACATTTGTGTGGGCCTGTGGGCTCTTCTTTAAAAAGGGAGCCTCGCTCTGATCAGACTTAAAATAACGACCAGCATCAGTGCAGGGCAAAGGTCCCTCTGAGCCCTGTAAGTCAGGTCACCCCAGAAGGAACGCTGCCCTGTGGTCCATTCACCCCCTGGGGCCAGGCTCTGTCCACACGGCCATGACCCTGATGACCACCTCTGCACGGCAGCCACCCACTCTGCTGGTCAGCCTGCAAAGGGGTCAGAGGACCACATGGCTCTTTTCTTCGAGAGGGGCTTTTTCTAACCTCGGGGGAGAAACCCCTGCAACTCTAAGATCTGCCCCAGACGACCATCCCCTTTCCTCTGGGGAGTGTGGCAGCTAGAGGCGGGGGGGGGGGGGGGGGGGGGGGGGGGGGGG